TTTCTTGAGTTATATATTTAAGTACACATGCATATACAGATGCATACGTATTAATAACTTGGTTTCTTTCCTTCCTTGCTTGTAGCTGCTATTAACATATCTCCCCCTTCCCCTTTTGATTTGCTACGTCTAGGAACCCAACGACCAACTGGATTCAGAGGAAGGTTAGAGCAAACAGGTCCTAACCGTGTCTGGGCTGTCGCAGCTCAGTTCAGTGAGTGGGCTTCAGAGCACCGACTCTGAAGGGGCAGGGCGCCACCTCTGTTGTGTTCCACATCTGAAGCCCCCCACAGGACCTCTGGTTAAGTGAAGTGTAGTGCTATCAGCTTGTTCACACAGGAGGGGCTCCAGCCCTCTTTTAGCCAGAGAAGGGAGAGTTTCAAATGGCATCACACCAGCCTCGTGCCCAGTGCCAACAAGCCAGGAGGCACAGGGGTGGGGAGTGGGGTGGGCACACCTAACTGCGACAGGGGCTGAACCCTCACCCAGGCCGGGCCCCAGCGTAAGCCAAGTAAAGACGGTGGGAGGTCATGAGGCATGAGAGAGTAATGGTGGTTTTGTTAGTGTTGTTTTAAATGTTCTCAATATGATGATCTCACATGTGCAAAAGGAGAACTGGGAGAAGTTTAAAAAAAAAAAAAAGGCAGCAACACAGCAGGAACCTCAGTACTGGGGAGACCAAGACCTCCATCTATTTCCTTTAAAAACATAATGTGCTATTTCCTTTAAAAACATAATGTGTCTTTTAAGTCAACATAGTTAACTCCACAGTGCACTGAACTGCTGTCTACACCACGGTCAGTAACCCTGCCAGGGCTCGATCTTACAGAAATGCCAGCCCCTCCGCACCAAGACCCACACCAGAGTCCACTGCTGCGGGCACGGAACAATGAAAAATGGGAAAGGCAACACAGCTATCCTTCCAACGGGTGGGAGGCTTCCCAGTTACGTCTGCACAGCCACACGGCCCCCTGGAGTACCACACAGCCAGGGAAAAGAATGAGGGTGCCTCATTAAACAAGCACACAACAAAAGCCTGTGGTAGAATGTATTCGCTGCCATCCTGCATGTGTATTTTTCGAATGTCTGTGTGGACGCACACGCACGCATAACGCAAATCCATTAAAAGGGTCTGGAAAGGGACACACCAACATGCGGTGATAGTGGTTAGCCAGAGGAGGGCAAGGCTGACACATTCTGTCTACTCGCTTCTGTGCTGTTTGAAGAATTTCACAACCAGGCCCACTGGCAGCCAGGGACCGTGAGGGAGCAGGGACAGGAACTGCCAGCCTGGATGTATCCTGAACAAAGTGCTGGCTCTCTGCCAGCCTGGCTTCACCCTAGGTGAAGGAGACCCCAGCCGTTCACCCTCCACTCGACAGGCTGTGGGTCTGACACAGCTGCGATGGGGCCAGGAGGGCAGTGTGGTTGGAAACCAGGCTCTACAGCCAGAGTTTGTGTTGGGGGAGGGAACCTAAATACCCTGCCCCAATAATCTCATTCATGATCAAATCCCTTGTTCAGTGGCTCAAGATAAACTTCCAACTAACCCCACCCAAATTATTACGGGAAATGGCTGAGAAAATGCAATCTTACTCTACTCCCACCCCCACCCCAAAGAGGGCCAGGTGACCAGGGATGTGTCTCCGTCGAGGTCTGCAGAAGGGAGGAGCCATGCACAGCACAGTGCCCCCCTTTCCAGCCAGCCCCCCAGAGCTGCTGATACGGACCCAGCCCAGGCAGCTAGTGAGTGGATGTTTTAGCTCCCGGTGCTGCAGGGAAAGCAGGGCACAGAGGCATTCTGAAAACAATTCTTTGTGGGAACAAATAGGAATGTATTCAAAGCATCTCTGCCAAGAAAGGCTGAGTGACCATTCTGCTAGGGGTCTGCCAAGTCCCACCACTCCAGACAACAAGCAGGAATCTCCAGGTGAAGGGCCTGGCTGGCTCAGGGGTAAGATCTGCCCTCAAAGGGCCCTAGGCCTTTCCTTCTGAAAGTCCTGGATGTTCACATCAAAGCCCTTCAGCCTCCAAGAAAATATGTTCCTGGTCTTGCTACTCCCCAAGGCAAGACTTAGCAAATTCCCAGATCTGGACTGGGAAGTTCTGACTAGCCAAATAAGTGGCTTTAAAAAAAAAAAAAAAAAAAAAAAGTGAGTTGAGCTGCAAAAACGTGTCTTTGTTTCATCACGTGTTTGCTATAACATCAACAATTACCTAAATGTGACAGGGTAATCAGTCCCCAGGAGACTGGCACACAACCAGGACAAGCAGCTCTTTTGCATTCAGTCGGGCAGGGAGTGGGGGTGGGAGATCACAGCAGAGTCAGGGAAGGCCCGGTCTCCCCAGAGTCAAGGCTGAGCCTTGTACTTCCCAAAGGGTTGTCAAACTCACAGCCTCATTTCCCACAGATCTTCCAAGTGGTCAGGGGAGACATCACCAAGCTGCAGGGAGGTCTGGGGACCCATCCTTGGCCACAGGGCTAGACAGAGCAAGCTGTAAACTGCCTTCTTGGCTAAAGAGGTTTTGATATTCACCCCCTGCCATGAAATCGCTACGGGTGGGTGGAGTGGTGGTGGCGGCGGTTCCTATTGAGTAGAAGGCCTGGCATGACCTGAACCACTGCCGGCAGGGACCCCCCCAGAAAGCTGCTGGAAGTCCACAAACCAAACCACAGCTACCTCAGAACCAAGGTCTGCTGCTCAGGTCTTCCCAGGGTAGCCTGGCCTCTCGGTCACCCACTGTGGACTGTGGGCTACCCCTGTCTCCTTTATGAACACCAGCTAATTATGTTCTGCACACCTAGGCACAGGCTGGAAATGGGCTCCCTAGAGGTGCTCTCCACCTGAGGCTGAACCAGACACCCTCCAGAGGCAGGTTCTTTCTTGGTTCATAATCAGATTCACCTGGGGCACCACTAAAACTGTTCGGCGGAAGGTCAGTATCTGGGACCTGGAAATCTGCATTTCCAAGGGCCCCAAAGGAACCCCGCACACTCCTGACTTGGAGGTCTACATCTGCTCTGGAGGTAGGGCTCACCTGGAGGGCGAGGCCACCTCCCTGCTCTTAGACCCAGCACACTGCAGCCAGTGTGGGGTCCATCCTCTTCTTTCTGCTTAGGGTTTCAAAGCACCCCAGGGAGAATGGGTTCCACCCCACCGGGGGAGGCCTGGGTTCCCAACGCCGCTGCCCAATCCTCTAGCCAAGGGACCCCATCAGGGACACTAGAGCCTGAATCAGGGAGCAAGGCAACCCACCAGTTATCCTCCAGCTCCGGTCCCCCGTCCAAGCCTGCCCCGCCCATGACAGTGAGCCCCACCCCTCAGCCAGCCCCTCCGCAACTCTCGAACCCCGCTAGCCCCCTGGAAGGCCACAGTCAAACAGGCTACGAAGCTTCCAATCCTTAAATTACCGGTCCAGTGCCGGCCTCGCCCCCCAAGGCGGTCCTCGAGCCACGCCCCACGCCCTGCCCCCGCCCCCGTAATCTGGGTGCTCCAGGATCCCAACCTAGTTTGGCCCCTCCTCCACGGCCACACCCACCCTTGCAGTAACGTTCCCAAGCTGAACCAACAACCCTACACTAACCCCACCCCCTATCTCGGTCCACACACCCTTAATTCTGACTCAGAATGAATAGAAATGGCCCCGCCTTCACCCTCGACCCCACCACCAGCCACGTGATTTGGGGCGCCCACAGCAAGGGACAAAACCGCGTGGGCAGCCTCCGAGGTAAAGGTTTGTCTGAAATCCGCTGGCTTTGACACCTGCAGACCTCGGGACTGCTCAGTTACAAATATACCAGGAGAAGGGGGTCTTCCAGCTCCAGGGTCTTGAGGACTGCAGTTTTTAAGCCAGTCTTGTAACCAGTTTCTGTACTGTTTTATAAATGTGAAGTCTAAATCGTTGGTATCAAGGTAACTGTATTTATACGGGTTTTTAACCTGCTCCAAATGTGGAAGAATTAAGTGTAACATAAGAGTTAGCGTGAGCCCAGGAAAAACACACAATTCTTTAAAACCAAATTGGGTGAGAAAGGTTGCATCCCACCTTTGTGTTTAAGAAAACGAAAAACAACCAACGACGAGGTCCCGGGCCCGTGCGAAGGGGAGGGCTGCCCGGGGGTTGGGGGGGTCAGGCGATGGTCCTCTGAGACCGACCGCCCCCGTGCAGGTGCCCGCACGCATCCGGCACCCGGCAGGTGAGAGCAGGGCGGAGAAAGGGGCGCGGAGGAACGGGCTATGTACTAGGCGAGCGAAAGCGCCCCCAGGCCGAAGAGCCCCCTAGGGTCGGGCGCGCCTCCGCTGGCCGGATGGGCGGGGCTCCCACAAAGAGCCTCCGGCCGAGAACCCGGACCGCCCCCCGCGTCGGCCGCTGCTGGCTCCGGTTTCGACAAATTAAACCTTAGAACGCTGGAAAAATTACAGGAAGAGGAGAGCGAAGAATGTGCCGAGTGGCTGGAGGGAGCCCTGTCCCCGCGTGAACTTCGCTCGCCGCTCGCCCGGGCCGGGCCGGGCGGGTCCCTCCCCTCCCGAGCGCGCTCTAAGGCCGGCGGGGGAGGGGCCGGCAGGGGAGGGGCCGGGGCGAGGGCACCCCTCCCCCGCGGCCCCAGGGCGCTCCCGCCGCCCATCTCCCGGAGCAGCACGCGAGGCCCCCACCCAGCTCGCCCGCACCTGCCCGCGCCGCCCCCCGGCCCCTGCGGGGTATACGCCCGCAGCCCAGATGACGACATCCGCCCCCGCGGCCCCGCCCGAGAGTGCCCGGGGAGGGGGCGTGCCCGGCGGGGGCGCGGTCGCCGGGCGGGCGCCGGCTCCCAGCTCCCGGACCCGCCTCGCTGGGCGCGCGGGTCCGACCGCAGGACCGTATGGCGGGGGAAGGGGCGAGGCCCCGACCGTTCCCGGCCCGACCGCCCCTCGCGCCCCGCCGGCAGCTCCGGGGGCGTGGCCCGGTGGCCTGTGCTGTCCCCGTCCGCGCGCTCGGGGCGCCCGGGCGGCCCTACTGACCTGTGTGAGTTCTCAGGTGCGCCTTGAGGTGCGAGGATTTCCCGTAAACTTTCTCGCAGCCCGCGTAGTGGCACTTGTGCTTTCTCTGCGGGGACTCCAGGTCCGCGCGACTTCGGCCCCGCCGGCCCCTTTGTCTGAGGCCGGGTTCGCTGCTCCCCGCGGGCCCTGGCTCCCGCTCCGGCTCCAGCCCCGCCTCGAGCTCGGCCTCGGGCTCGCTCCACGCGGGGCTGAGGGGCGCGGCCGCCGCACCTTCGCCGCCGGGGGAGGCGGGCTCGGGGGCGGGTGGCGGCGCGGGCGGCAGGCGGCAGGGGGTCCTCGCCTTCCGGGCCGCGGCGCCCTCTCTGCGCTCCGCCGGGGCGGGCGCCGGCGCTTGCTGGTTGAGGTCCGCCAAGATCCTCGCCACCACGAAGAGCGAGGCACTGTCCTTGCCGTCGCGGCGCTCCTCGACGCGGGGCAGCGTGGCGGCGACAGCGGCGGCCGCGCCCTCGGGTCCGGGCTCCGGCCCCTCCCGCGGCCCGTGCACGACCGCGCGGCTCGACATGGACACGAGGCACTCGGCGGCGAAGTGGTCCACATAGGCGGCGGCTGCCATGCTGCGGGCTCCGGCCGGCGGGCCGGCGGCACTGCTGGTCGCTGAGAGTCGTCAGAGGCGCATCCGCACCCACGGCCTCCCGAGAGCGGGCGGGGGGCGGGGGCGCGGCGCGCCCTCTCCGCGGGCTGGGCTGGGCGCGCAGCCGCCTCTGCCGTCACCCGCGCGGCTCCGCGTCCGCGCGGCGCCCGCCCGGCCGGGCACCAAAGAGTGAGCGCATGGGGGGGCGCGGGCCAATGGGGTCCCCGCGCGGCGTCAGGGGCGGCCTGTCCTAGGGATGCCGAGCAGCGACGTTAGAGACTACCTCGCCAAGTTGCGGCCGCAGCCTCGCCGCGCATTGTGGCAGGCGGGACAGCCGCCGTGCGCGCCGCGGGTCGGTGTGGGCGGCCCGGCCCCGGGGGTGGGCGGGGCCGGGGCCACATCTGGACCCGACGTCAGCCCCCAGCCACATCCTGGCGGCGCAGGTTACAGGCGGCGGCGGCCGCGGGGAACTGCGCGCGCGGAGGGGGCGGGGACCCGAGAGCGCGCCTAGTCAGGATAGAGCGGTCGCGCGCTCGCGTCTGAGGAGGGGGCGTGGCTTAGGACAGGGGCGGACGCCGTAGATTCGTCGGTAGGCGGTCGGACCAATCCCGGCGGCCAGGGGGGCCGACTGGGCCTTGGGGCCTGCGCGCGCCAATGGGCGTGCCCTCTTGGCCGTCGGGAGGAGGAGCGGAAATTTGAGCCGGGAGCCGGGCACGCTGACGCAGGACGTCCGAGGGCGGTGGGCTGGGGCGTGGCTGTGAGGGGACCGCTCCCCACCCCACCCTACCCCCCTAGCAGCGGGGTACCCGCGAGGCATTTTCCTGCCGGGTCTTCTGTACGGTGACAGCCTCGAACCCCGGAGTGGAAGCGAGCGCTCGGGAGGGCGCCCCTTTGTCCTTCCACCCCGCCTGTGAGGGGCGCCAGGGATGGGTGCGCCTCGGCGGGACTCGCCTCCGCTTCTCTTCCCTTCCAGAGCGACGTTTGCACGGCGAGGAGGCGTGTCCGCTCGGGCTGGGCGCTGGGCTGCGGGCCTGGCCTGGGGGCGGAACAGCTCCCTGTGCACCCCACCGCTGCAGGGTTCCTAGGTGGCCGCGCCTCGAGACGCAGGCCGCTCGCCCCCTCTATGCTCCCTCTGCTGAGCTCCGGGCCTCCGTGCGGCCCAGCTGGGAGCGAGGTCACGGGTGGGGCGGGGCCGCTCGCGCAGGAAGGACCGGCTGCTTCCCCGACTGGTCCCAGGCGGCCGGGGACCCGGAGGGGATCGCGCTGCCGGTGAGCCTAGGTCAGCCGGAGCCGCACTGGCTCCGGGCTGGTGGTCAACCTGGCAACGTGGGTGACGTGCCCACCGCGTCCTGTGCTTGCAAGAGTGAACTACGTGCTGGTGCAGCCGGCGCCGCTGTTCGGGGAACGCGGGGCCCCTTCCTCCTCCCCGCCCCAGGCCAGCTGCCAACTTCTCTAGGCTGCCCCTCTCCCACCGCGGTGGGGAAGGCTTCAAACGCCGCCAGCTGCGAGGACCCCGCCCACCGCGCCCCACCCACACCCCCTGTCCGGGCCTACCGAAGGAAACACTCCGCTGCGCCCAGCCCGCGTACTCCTGGCCCTGGCCCTGCCAACTTGCCCCTGACTCTCACCGGCGCCCCTCCTCCCCCCATCCCCTCGGCCCCACCATCCTTCTACAGGCCTAGGCCATCACTGGAGAGGCCAGTACATAACTTCCTACTGCCTCAGAATCAAGGCCGCAAGCCCCTTTCCGGACCCTCGCCGGCAGCCCCTGAACCGGAAGGCTGAGGCCTGGGACGGCAGCCCCTGGGTGGTTTGCCTTCAAGGACGGTTTGCACGTGTCCGCCGACCGCGAGGGGAGCCTGCGGACCTGAGAAGGGGGCTGGGTGGGGCGAGGTCATCCTGCGCACAAAATTCAGAGCGACCATTTCTCACCAAATTAATTTGAGTCGTGAGTAGAAAAAACGTCCTTCCAGGTAACGAAGAAGGAACTAAGAGAGACGTTCTCTGTTGCATGCTATGGTGAACCGTAAACTGGCGTGGATGATTGAGCGCCCTGGGTGTCTGTCACTGAAACCCTAAACTTCCCTCTCACTGATCAAGTTGGTGCCCTCTGGGAAGACCACAGGCGTGCTTCTCTGGGGTGGGCTCTGTAAGGGCCATCTGGGTGAGGTCCCTGGAAGAGGGTCTCCTGGCAGGAAGAAATCATTCTGTCAGGCAGATTGTGTTGATGACATTTAAGAGATTTGTGTTCTGACCAAATAATGATTCACAATGTCCCTGTAGTCCCACCACATGCCACAATCAGTCACTTCATTAAAGATGGAGCTGGCCCTACACGGACTTACCAGCACCCATCCCCTCTCTATTCCTCTCCAGCCTGAGTGGGGGACTCTGCCCCAGTCTTTGAGATTACCACATCGCTTGGCTTTCTCCATGACCCCTGCTGGGATACCCACCCCCTCACCCCCGCCTGCACATACACTGGCCATCCTCCTACAGGTATGCACTATTCTAGGCGTTGGGCCACAGCCATGGATAAGACACCCGCCCTGTGTGAGGGGAGGCCAGCCTGGGTCAAGGGTCCCCTGCACTGCGTCAAACCCCACCCCCATCCACAGCCCAAAGCAGTCCCTAGGCCTCTCCCCGTGAGTGCTGAGTGCAGTCTCCCTAAGGGTTTCAGCTGTGCCCTGTGGCATTCAGGATGCAAAACTCAGCCCCTTGGCTGGTTTCCCACCCATGTGATGACTGTTCACTGAAAGCCTCGGGGGCGCCTGGGTGGCTCAGTTGGTTAAGCGACTGCCTTCGGCTGGGGTCATGATCCCAGAGTCCGGGGATCGAGTCCCGCATCGGGCTCCCAGTTCAGCAGGGAGCCTGCTTCTCCCTCTGACCCTCTTCCCTCTCATGCTGTTTCTCTCTCTCTCTCAAATAAATAAATAAAATCATAAAAAAAAGGAAAATTATTTATAAAAAAAAAAAAAGAAAGAAAGCCTCGGACCCTGCAGTCTTTACCATGTAGAAGTATGTTCCGGTATCCAGAGATTCATTTCTCTTCCCCAGAGCTATGAATCCATGCTTTTCTTGCTAAATAGGATTCTGGCAGAGGTAGTTCATTGTATATATGAGGGTGGGTGGGGATCAAGTGTCAGATGGAAGGAACAGAATATACAAAAGCAGAGTAGGGAAGTCAGATGAGAACAAGTAGATGGAGATGTGTCTGCGGAGTAAAGACATACAAGACTGAAAAGGTGGCTGGGGTTTCTGGTAAAGGTGGTAGACTGACTAATTTCCGGAGCCTCCTGAAACAACAGTAAGTTTACTTGTTGTAAGACAGAAATTGTCAAGGATGGGGAGAGCAAGGGAGGAAGTAACAACACAATTTTTGAAGCTACAATACTTACAGACCAGAGAAAATGAAATCCTGAAATGATAGCCAGGAACAAACCCTGGAATGTCCAGAAGGTTCATGAATGGATGGCACTAGGTACCTCTGGACATGAGTGTGAATGAGAGGCTAACCTAAGAATAAGCTAGAAAGCCTGGCTAAGAAGCACTGAATTGCCCAGATCCCCTCCCTAATTCTGTGCAGCCATCCCTATCCTGACAAAAGACTGGATGGTTATTATCTAAAGAAAGTATAAGCGAGCATCTTGCACTGAGAGACACCAGGCATAATTGATGGCAGAGGTGCCATAATAGGAATGGGGGGATTAAATGAACCTACAGATATTGGATGCTGAGACCAAACCCTGCCCCCTTTTTGGCATTTCAGATTGCAAGAGCCAGGAGACAAAGGGTCTTTTCTGGGGCATCAGGACCAGGCCAAGGGAAACACCTAAATTCTTTGGCATCTGTGGTTGCCCAACTAAGCCAGATCACCCAAAGGAAAGGCCCCATGCATGCGTACAGGGCTTCTAATCAGTCTTTCACAGGCTGCCAAAGTGGACCTGGCATCTCAGGAAAGCTTTGTATCATGAAATCTAAAGCCCCCAATGGATTTTTTTTTTTTTTAAGCAGCTTGGAAGAAACAGAGACTATACAGAGAGAAGTCCATGTCAACAAAACTACTAATAATGTCATAAGAGAAATTACGATATTGCAACCCATGAAGGCATGACACATATAAAGAAACAGAGAACAAACAAAGCTCTTGGGAATTTGAAATAAGATAGCAGAGAGGAAAAAACCCTCAAGAGGGGGAAAGGAAGATAAAGTTGAGGAAATCCCTATTAAAGTAGAATAAGGGGTGCCTGGGTGGCTCAGTCAATTGAGCGTCTGACTCTTGATTTCTGCTCAGGTCATGATCTCAGGTTCCTGGGATGGGACCCTGCGTCAGGCTCCGTGATCAGCATGGAGTCTGCTTGTCCCTCTCCCTCTGCTCCTTCCCCGCTTGTGTTCTCTCTCTAAAATAAATAAAACCTTAAAAAAAAAAAAAAAGTAGAGCAAGAAAGAATGCCAAAGATGGGAAATAGAGAAAAAAATTAGAGGACCATCCAGAAAGTCCATTGATCAAATAACAGGAACTCCGAATGAATGATCAGGGAAAACACAAGGGGTGGGCGGAGTCATCAATGAATTAATCCAAGAAAAGTCTCCACTACTGAAGAATGTGTGCTGAAAGGGCCCACAGGGAGCCCAGCACATTGGGAAAAAATAGCCCTACCCTAAAGCAGATTGCTGTTGAAGCTTAGAATAATGGGGACAAAAAAATATCCTGTCAATAGAAGCAGGTCACATCGAGATTGTCAGGAGTCAGAATGGCTGTGGGCTTCTCCACAGCAACAAGTAGAAGTTAGAAGGCAAAGAGCAAAGCCTCGGGAAACCTAAAGTAAAATTATTTTTCCCACCTTCACCCAGACAAAGTACAAACCAAATATTTTTAGATTCACAAGGTCACAAAATTTACCTTCCATGCATCCTTTCTCGTGGTAGGAAGCTACAAGAGATAATGCTTCCAAAATGAAGAGTTCCATCAACAAAGAAAGAGGCATGTGGTCCAGGAAGCACTCCACGCGGGGGGGGGGGGGGGGGGGGAGGAGGGCACAGAGGGCAACCAGACAAAGCTGGATGGAGCAGGTCAGAAGCTCTGGGGATACGGCTTCACAAGTTACGATAGATAGAATCCCTGTATCAGTCAGGAGAGGCTGGGCCATCCTGCAGAACAAACAACCTGCAGATCTCAAAGTTTTATTTCTGGCCATGCTATGAGTCCATAGTGAGGCACCCAGGGACCAGCAGGTTGATGGAGCAGCCTCTCTAGAACATGCTGGTCATCATGTCAGAGGGACAGTGAGAGCACTCACCCACAGGTGTCACTTGGGCCTTCTTTCCCACACGTAACATCTACTCCCACCCCCCCGCAGCGGGCCTGCCC